GGCAGGAACGGGAGCATCCTGGGGGCAGTCTCCTCTTCCCATCAGTCTCACTTGTGTGCAGGAGACTTTCCTTTGACTTCACAGACTTCCCTTTGACTGCCTGGGTCAGGTTCCCGGGGGGGCCACGCAGCCTGCTCCACACAAACGTTGATGCCTCAGCAGCGTGGCCATTGCGCTTGCTACGTCTAGGACTTTTCCCGGACAGGAGCTGCTGGTCTTTCCCACGTGCAGACACGTTCAAATGCTGCCCGGCGCAGGCAGCCATTTTGTAGCAGTGTGTCCGCCGTGCTGCGCAGCCTCTCTTCCGCCGGCAAGGCCTCTCCGCTCCTGTTTGCTTCCTCTTTCATCCTGCCGAGGGAGGCAGCGTCTCGCCCGGCTGAGTGCCTCCGGCGAATGCCGCAGCGGTGATGTTTATACTCAAATCCTCAGAGCCACACACAAAACCTCCCTTTCTACTTTCTCATTACTATTTGCATCAACCATGTCAATAAACTCAAGCCGAGATCTGCCTGACAAAATGGGTTTGCTATAGATCTGTGCTGCTAGCACCCATCAGACACTTATACTCTTGGGAGGGATCCTTTTTAAAGGTGCAGACCCATGGGGTAATACAGAAAACGGGTAAGTAAATGGATTGGGCTACTTTGGGGCAACCGTGTTTTGTGGAGGTGAACGAGGACTGTTGATTCAGTAGGAATCTGGCAATTCTATTTTTGCTGACTGATTCCACCCCAGACGAGCCCACGGCGTTATCCTTTGCTTTAGCTCATATCTTGATTTTCAGGAATGTATTGACATAAACATTCCTGGGAGACATGAACTGTCACATTCTCCTCTTCACAACATGGGCCATAAGACATTTAAAAAATACCACTAATCACAAGGCTAAGCAGATTGTATTTATCTCTACTAAAGATAGTTTACAAAGGATCAACCTTTGGGTGGCTACTGTAAGGTGGGTGCATAACTGGCTGGATAACCCTTCTCAGAGAGTCGTTATTAACGGTTCACAGTCATGCTGGAAGGGCAGACCAAGTGGGCTTCCACAGGGGTCTGTTTGGGGACCTCTGCTGACAGCAAGGGAGGTTTGGGTCGGACATTAGGAAAAACGTCCTGCCTGTCAGGGTGGTTTAACACTGGAAGAAGTTGCCAAGGGGGTTGTGGACTCTCCATCACTGGAGATATGTAAGAGCAGGGTGGACAGACACCTGTCAGGGATGATCAGTGCTTGGTCCTGCCGTGAGGGCCGGGGACTGGATTCGAGGACCTCTCTGGGTCCCTTCCAGTTCTATGAAACTTGTGTTGAGGCTCCAAAACTGACACCCTAAGATAGGGATTAGCAATATCTTGCTGTTTGTTGGAAATGTACAAATGTGTGTGTTAGTTTTGTCGTTATGTACGAATCAGGAGAACTCTTCCTGCCTGTGAGTCACCGGCCAAAACCCAGGAGTTTTCAGGTGCCTAAGTAGCCGGACTGGGGTCCTGGTTAACGCTGCCCCCCTGTACCAAGCTCTGACATGGCGCCCCTCCCTCTCCGGGGGGGATATGCACAGCACAGCAGGGAGAGGAAGTCCTTCTCGGAGAGCCTCCTCATAGAGAAGGCTGCGTGGCCTGAAATCTGGCAGGGTGGAGCCTTGTCCCCCGGCACCGTGCTCCTCCCTGGGCAGAGAGTTCTGAGGACGGGGGCGTGGGCCTACCCCGGGACAGGGCTGGGCAGGGAGGGAGCCCGGCGCTCAGGCAGGCTCAGGGCG